AGCAGGACCTGCTCCTTGTCCCGGGCGCGCACCCCTGGCCCCTCCACACTCACTGGACCCTCCACCAGCTGTCGCTTCATCCCTGCGCTTCTCCGGAGCCGGAGCCCACCGGCCTCTGCCGCTCCTGCAACTAAATTCCTAACAAGGTAATCGGCCGTCACCCGAGGGAGCAAGACAAAGGACTCGGTGAGGACAGACTGACCAAGGAGTAGGTTTGCTGAACTTCCCAGCACCGGTGTGTGGCTCTGGTCACCTGCGCTTCAGGAGCAGGCTGCCTTGGCTCAAAATAATGAAGAAAAGGAAAAAAAGACTTTACAAACTGCTGCTTTCACTGACGGAGTTCCCAACTGTCCCGAGTGTCATTCAAGGAGGTCAATGATCTCCTCATCTCTGTCGTTGAAAGCATCCCTGGAGAGCTGTGGAGATACCGGGAGCAGGCTGAGCAGGCAGCACGTGGGGCTGGGCTGTGCCCACCGCAGAGCAGTGGGCCACTGCTGGCCACAGAGCGCCAGGTGGATGGCACGGACCCAGGATTCACGGCGCTTCCTCATCTCCCGGCTTTTAACTAATAAACCTCGTGACCTGTTTGATCCGTGCCGAGAAACGCAGCCCCACAAGGCTGCGGGATTACAGGCTTCCAGGCAATGCTAACCCGCCCCGGAGCCATTTTCCTTTGGGACAGCAAAACCCAGCCGGGGAGGTGGGGTTCCAGGGCCCGCAGCCCATCCAGAGGCAGTGGGGGCTCTAGAGGTAAAGCCAGGAAATTCCCAAAGCCCTGAAGCTGGGTCAGAGAACTACCACGGCTTTTAACCCCCAGAGCCGCCCTCACCTCGTTAGGCCAGAAGAGACTGGGGGTAGTAAACGATTCTTTAATCCAACAGCCAGGGACATGGCGAGATTGACGGCTGGAAGCTGAAGCAAGACCAGTCCAGCCAGGGAAGGCCTGCGCTTTGAGAGCGTGGTGCATCGACCCCCAGGCCGCTCTACCCGGGAGATCTCCCCACTCACCGCGGGCATCCCCCCCGCAGATCGGCGTTAGGGACTGCCCGCAGGAAAGGCCAGC